TCTGGGTGACAGAGTGAGACTCCAACTCAAAAAAAAAAAAAAAAAAATACCCTAAGAAAGGGATTGGCAGTAGCGGGAAACTGCCAGTAGGGGGGGGCACACAACATCATTAAGGGTACCTAATCTTAAACTAGGTGAAGTAGGGACCAAAGGGAGGCCCAAACTTTACCCGTACGATAATCACTTGTACACCTAATCCTGAATTGGACCCCATATCTTTAAAATAAAAATAAATAAATAAAAAGAAAGGATTTAGGCCAGGTGTGGTGGCTCACACCTATAATCTCACCACTTTGGGAGGTTGAGACAAGAGGACTGCCTGAACCCAGGGGTTCAAGACCAGCCTAGGTAATTTGGCGAGACTTTGTCTCTACAATAAATCAAAAAATTAGCCAGGTGTGGTAGCACACCTGTAGTTCCAGTTACTTTGAAGGCTGAGGCGGAAGGATCGCAGAAGCCCAGCAGGTCGAGGCACGGTGGCCAGGAGCGTGCCACTGTCCTTCAGCCTGAGTGACAGAGTGAGACTGCAACTCAAAAAAAAAAAAAAAAATTGGATTTAACTAAGGTTGTGGTTTATCCAAGAGAATCCCACAATCAGAGGAGTAGATGGCTGAGACAGGATGAAAGGCAAGATCACTGGTGGAGAGAAGATCCAGGAAAGAAGAGGTCAGAGTATCTGAAGGATCTTTAGGGATACTAAAAACATCCAAGAATCATGATGGAAGTAATGTTCGCAGAAAGTGACAGTAAGCTAGTAGCTCAAATTGTTCAAAAGGTAAGAGAGAGTGACCCAGGAATCAGCAGATGACTGAAACAGGGAGAGGTAGAGGATGGTATATTGTGACAAAATGAGATTTAAACTTACACATTTTTAGGGAGGAGGAAAGGAGAACAGAAGTGTAGGACAAGAACAGCACTTATCTCACCTTCATAGGCCCTATGGTAAAAAGATTTTGAGAATAAAAACAGGCACCACTTACCAGGTTTTAGGAAAAGTTGTGTCACCTGAGGAGCACCAGATTTTGGTTGGTGCTAGAAGATGAAGAGAACCTTTACAGAAGAGACTGAAGATATAAAAGAAACCACAGTGGCAGATGGAAGCTTCTGATCTTGGTACATATATATTACGTGTAGGGGGGAAAGTGGCTTTTGCACAAATGCAAGCAAGAGAGGGGAAGAGAGAAGGAGGAAGGGAGGGAGGGACGGAGGGAGAAAAGGAAGATATACAGATGGCCAATAAGCATATGAAAAGATGCTCAACATAATATATCATCAGGGAATTGCAAATTAAGAAAGTAAGATACTACTACATATCTATTAGAATGGTTAAAAATCCAAAGTGCTGGCAATACCAAATGCTAGCATGCATGTGAAGCAACAGGAATGCCCTCTCATTGCTAGTGGGAATGTAAAACGGTATAGCCACATTGGAAAACAGTTTGGTAATTTCTTAAAAAAAATACTCTTAACATATGATCCAGCAGTCATGCTTCTTGCTATTTACCCAAATGATTTGAAAACTTATATCTACCAAATCCTGCACATGAATATTTATAGCAGTTTTATATACAACTGCCACAACTTGGAATAAACCAAGATGTCGTTCAACAGGTAAAGGGATAAGCAAACTGCATACTATGGACTAAACTGTGTCACCAAAATTCATATGTTGAAGCCCCATACTCCCAACATGACTATATCTGGAGATAGGGTCTTTAGGAGGTAATAAAGGTTAAAAGTTTTAAATGAGGTCATAAGAGTAGGGCCCTAATCCGATAGGACTATGGCCTTTTAAGAAGAGGAAGATTCTCTTTCTATGACATGTGAAGACACAGCAAGAAGGCCGCTATCGATACGCCAAGAAGAGAACCTGGCATTTTGATCTTGAACTCCAGTCTCCAGAACTGTGAGAAAATAAACGTCTGTGGTTTAAACCACCCAGTCTACGATATTTCCTTATGTCTACCTAAGCAGACTGATACACTGGAACACCCACACAATGTAATACCCATTGAATGCTAAAAAGAAATGGGTTAGCAAGCCATGAAGATATGGAGGAAACTTAAATGCATATTGCTAAGTGAAAGAAGAAAATTCAAAAATGCTACAAACTGTATGGTTCCAACTATATGACATTCTGCAAAAGGTAAAACTAGGAAGACAGTGAAAAGATCAGTGGTAACCTGATCTGAGGCAGGGAGGAGGAGGGAGTAATAAACAGGTGGACCACAGGAGATTTTTAGAGCAATGAAACTATTCTGTATGATACTGTAATGATGAACACATTTCATTATATATCGGTTAGAGTGAGCCTGAATGTAAATTACAGACTTTAGTTAATAATACTGTATTAATACTGGCTCATAAACTGTAACAAATTAACCACGCTAAGGTAAGAAGTTAATAACAGAGGAAACTGAGTGCGGGGAACTTGGGTTAAAAGGTTAAATGAGGTCATAAGAGTAGGGCCCTAATCTGAAACTATGTACTATCTGCTCAAGTATGTTGTAAATCTAAAACTATATTTAAAATGTAAGACTATTAAATACTAAAAATAATTCTATAATATTCAAATTTCAGTATCCATAAAGTTTTACTGGAACACAGCCATGCATACTCGTTTCTATTGCCTGAGGCTGCTTTTGTACTGCAACAGAAGATTTGAGTAGTTGCAACAGAGACCACGTGATCATAAAGCCTAAAATATTTTCTATCTGGACCTTTACAGAAAATGTTTGCAGACCGCTGCTCGAAATTTCATTACTATGGTAAAGAGAAAAACAAAAGCACATCCTTATAGGCTGTTCTGAACTAATCATTCTATTTAAATTATTTAAAGTTGTTAAGAGTCGAAAGAAGTACCTATTATATAATCCATTTTAAAATTTAACTGATAGTTTCTAGTATTTAAAAAAAAATCAAGTAAATTAGTGAAGTACTTTGACACCCAAAACAGCAACTCCCAGAGGGGGGATAAAAACAGCAGATAGTTTCACTCTGGTGCCTACAAAACTATCCCACTTACTGAACACCTAAGGAATAGGAATTAAAGTGTTCAACTAAGAAAATACTGTTGACAGTTTGAAAAGGGAAACCTGGAAAACAATCCAGGGAGGGACAAGGCACCTTATCTGAGAGAGGTAAGTCAGTGAGTGGACTACAAGGAACTGAATACTCTGTTAAAGAACATTAAGACTAGGAATCAAGTGATTAGATTAGTCAGGAAAATGTACCCTCGGTATCAGAAGACAAAATATAAGAATGCTATCACCAAGTGCCTGACAGTTACATCATGAAAAAATAATCGTTGACTATCTGAGAAAACAAATCATAGCTATCAAATATAGTGAAGAAGACTTTTAATAACCAGGGATCTTAGAAAGATTCAAATCTGTAAAAATAAGCTAGGAAAGCATTATAAAGACTAGGGGCACAGACTTTGGAGGTGAAAAAACTTGGTTCTGAGCCTGTTTCTGCCACTCACTAGCTCTAAGACTTTTAGCACAAATTCTGTCTCAGCCTCAGTTTCCTCATCTGTAAAAGAACAGTACCTCACTGAACTGTTGGAAAAATAAAATTATGCATTAAAGATCTTAGCAGAGTGCCTAAACACAAATAAAGTGTTAAATAAATGGTAACAGTTATTAATATATTTAGCTTAAGAAAATGCACTGGGAATAGAAAGCGTAAAGTTTTTCCAGCAACTCAGAACATCTACTCAAACTCTGAAATAAATATCCAATAGAATATAATTTTAGAGAACAAGTGCCCTTGAAAAATTAAATGAGGACTTCGTTCAATAAATGAAGTTGAAATTCCATTCACGCTTCTGAAAATATTGGGCCAAAGGAGAAAGACAAGTATCAGACTGGGTTCCCTCCAAATTCCAAACCTGGTGAATGGTGTCGGCTCACTAGAGGGCCCATTCGGGGACCTGTACAATTCCAGATTCATACTGGAACCCAAGAACATTGGTATTATATCTTCCAACCAGGAGGGGAATAAAAGTGTCCTCTAAACACTTACATGACAAAACTTCTCCACTCTCATTTCCACCTCATTCCATTCCACTCTTCCTGACCAAGACAAACAAAATATCCGTAACAAGAAAACAAGCTGTATCTAGAAAGCAGTCAGGATTACCTCAGTTTACAAATATTAGGTCTAAGTAATCAGTGACTCGAAGTCAGGTGCTTGAGTGCTTTGCTTCTCTGCCAAGATGGACATCAGCCTTAAACCAATAATGAAAGCTACGAGATGAGGATTTTAAAAATACATCCACATTCTCTCATACACACCAAATACACACACATATAAACGCACTCCGCTGCGATCACCGCTCACATCCCGCACTCAGAAAATAGCTAGCAGCCTTTCCGTGATCACAGCAATCCCGCCCCCAAGCGACGTCACGTTTTAGCCCCACAAAAAGACAACCTGGTACTTCCCCAAGGGGAGCGATGAAACTCGGTAGTAATTCCTATTAGACAACATTTTACTCTCGCTGTAGCCACAACCAGATGCCGAACGGTTCTGGTAGAATCTTCTAAGAGCACGGACAGGAGTGACGAGTGGCCTCACTCCCTAGTCAGGGTTTGTCCACACCTGTCACCACGAGTGGGCGGAAGTCGGGAGGAAGAAACTCGTAGGCGCGAACCCGAGCCACCCTGTTACATTCTCAGACCCCACTCGCACTCACCACAGTCTTCATCGGGCCTGTGACAGAGTCTGGGACTAAAAGGTGACTCCATGGTACCGGCAACAACAACCTGCTCCCCCATAACTCTAGTCCCCCTGCCCTGGAACTCCGTGACTAATAACTGAGACGGCGGCTGCGAGCGGACGAAATACTTCGCAACGCTGTCGAGACGGTGGCCGAACAGGGACAAACTGCTTCTATTCTGCGAGGTATTTGTACAGCCAGAAGGACGCTGGCGACCGAGTTAATTTAAACACATCTCTGAGCACGCGTCTCGCTATGGGAGTTTTCAGCACTGTCTGTCCCGCTGTTTTGGGGGGAGACACGTAGTCAACCGCTTCGATTAAGTAAAACTTATTGATAACATTAAAAATAAAAAGTAAAACCCCTTTCTGAGCAGACGGGCTTATTCTCCGATTATCCTTCTTAATACCACAGAGCAGATATCTCAGAACAAATTAGAGACTAAGAGTAAATCTGGTTACATCTTTAATAATAGTATATATTAATGTAAAAATTCTTCGATACGGAAGTGTATGAACGAAAAACACAACTTTTTCCCACATTCGTTAGAACTGCTTTACCGACAGTATCTGAGGTTAGCGATACTATAAATCATACTCCTAGAAAGCCTACTTTTATTTGAACAAATTTCAACAAAGCAAATATAAAAGATAAACTCTCCACGCCCAAAATGTCCCGAAAACGGACATAGTAAAAGTCCGAGCAGGCCCACTCCATGGCCCACTCTGCGAGCATCTGTATCTTACGGAAATTTAAGATTCGGGGTTGTATGGCACACATCCGAACTCCGACTGAAAATATGAACTGAGTTTGATAAGAACGCTACTGAAGAGAATTTACTTTTCACCCTTGTTGGATTTCAGCGGCCACTGTGTACGAGCCTCTCCCACAAGAACACGATTCCCTCCAGGACCAAGTGGGAGCTTTCCCATAGTTGCTCAACCCCACCGCAGGGCCTCCCGGAATCCGCCGCGCGCCGGGTGCCGGGTGTTGCCGCTCGCGGCGCGAGGCGAGAGCGCTCCGGACCCCGGCCCGGCCGGCGTGGGTGACGTCCCCTCGCGTCACATGTGGAAGTTTTCATGGAAGGGGAAAGTGGCAGCACTGTTATTCTCGCGCAGCTTCAAATCCAAATAACTGACAGATAAGCCAAAATGAAATCAGCGAGCCTTCTATGCCGTAGCCCACCAGACGCCCACTTAGTCTTTTGAGTACATCGCCGGGACCAACCGCCAGTTGTTGTTTTTTAATTCTCAAGATTGTATTTTTTATTTTTAAAAGAGCAGGTCATTATGAAAGACATGTGTGGGCCTATCACCAAGAATGAACAAAGATTGACATTTTTCATTTTTGCCCAAGGTTTGTTGTTTTTTTTTTTAAAGAAGGAATTAAACATACGGATAACGTTTCCTATTTCTCCTCCTCATTTCCTTCCCTTCCACATAGGCTGCTTCTGTCATGAATTTTATGAAATCATTCTGGTCCCCTTTTATTTTTTATTTTTACCATGTTTAAAATTGTTATAAATGTGTACATCTAGTGTCATTTGGGGTTTTTTAATTTGCATACATTTATCATGCTCTAATGTTCTTCAAATCACTTTTCTCATTCGACACTACTTTTTGAGGATCTTTCCCTGTTTTAACTGTTATGTGGTATTTCCTTAAATACATATATTATCATTTATTTTTCCATGTCCCTAATGATTTGAGTTGTTTCAATTGTTCACTGTTACATAAAATATTTTCTTGTTTGAGTCTCATGCATGTATGCAAGAATGTCTTTAACTGGGTACTTCTTGCCAAATTATACCAGTTCACACCCTCATAGAAGTGATAAGTACTCTTTGCTACACATTCTCACAAACACGAGATATGGTCAGACTTTTACAGTTTTTACCACAGTCAAGGGTGTGACTATAATTTACATTTTTCTGTTTATTAAACCTTATTTCCTCTTTCATGTTTATTAAACCTTATTTCCTCTTCTGTGAACTATTCACTCTTACCTTTTATAAAGTTTCTATTGAATCCCCTTGTTCTTAGCTCTCAGCTTCATCAATTTGCTGTTCTTATTTTATCCATCCACTCTCTCTACAACACTAACACTTTTATTTTTCATTTTGCTTTGGCTGTTTCCTGAAATATATATTTTATTTTATGGTTAAGTGTCTTTTTTAATTGAACCGCTAACAAACTGTCCAATTACATTTCTCCCCCAAAACCATAAACTGGGTAGTAACAGAGTCTCCAGGCAATATATTCAAAGCTAAGCAGATTAAAAATGAAAAACAAGTACTCGATGCCATTAAGGGAGCCCTGCTACATACAAGCTGACGAATACCAGTAGTACTCCTTGACACTAGGAAGCTGGAAAACATCTTAAAAATCTCTCAGATGATTTATTTCAAGTAGCCTTTTTTTCAGTTTCCATCTCATGATTAAAGATATTTTGTTAATTCTACTTCAGAAAAACTTTTTTGCAAGTTGTTTTATTTACAATGCCAACTTTTAAAAGGTCGCTAAAGTTAACTGGACATTCAGTTAGGCAGACATTGTTTTACAAAGAAGGAAAGCCCAAATGCCACTTTGTACAAAGAACCCACAGTTCAGTTTTATTTGGAACAAAGAAAAATGAAACTCAGTCATAGGTTTGGAATCTACACTAAAACTACTCATGCAATGAGGACAGTATTCTGCTAATACAACTGATTTATTGCTGCATTTGTCTACTGTTTGTCTAATATTAATAATTATAAACAGAGTGATGCAACTAGAATTTAGAACAATCTTTACAGTATTCCAGTGTCAGGCACATTTCACTTCTTTTCACTTTTCTACTGGCTCTCTGCATACCTGGGCTTCCTCCTCTTCAGTAAAGTCATTTTTTATATTGAACATCTTGCAAACTTCTCAGTTTTTCCCTTGAGCATATTGGCAACAGTCTTGCATGTAACATCAAGCAAACTTTTGATATCTAAGTTGTTTCCAGCCAGAATAAGTTCAAAAATTGTTCCTTGACCCACTTTCAGAAATTCTTGGTTCCCTGTCCTTGGTCCCAAACAGGGGTGTCATCTGTTCACTTTTCTTTGTTCTCATCATCCTCAGGAGGAGGAGGGTCATCCTTGTGATGGGTGCACCAGTGAATGACCTTTTAAAAATTGCTGCATTTGGGAGAGGAACTAAGTCATCATCTCCTTCATCATCCATTCCCAAATCTTCCAATATGGTCTTGATAATCACAGGTTGTTTGGCAATTTCCACATCTACTTCAAATATCTCTCCATCAGAACTCTGAAGCTTAATTGACGGCATGGTGCTGGGTCTCAGGGAGACAGCTAGTGGAGGCTGAAGAGCAGGGCAGTGTCAGCACAGCAGGAGGAAGACGGAGGACAAAGCCACTACACTTCCTGGACTATTTTAAACAAATCCCAGTCATGGTATTATTTCACCCAGAAATACTTCAGTGTGTATCTCCAACAGACAAGGCCTTTACTCATTTTTTAGAAACATAATGATAATACCACATTATCATACCCAACAAAATTAATTTCTTAGTATCACCTGGTACCTGTTTCATGTTCAGTTTTCTGTCTTAGAAATGTCCTTCTACAGTCGGTTTGTTAAAATCAGAGTCCAAACAAGATGATCACATTGCATTTAGTTCAAACGACATTTCTGGCTAACCCCCCACCCCATGCCATCTATTGAAGATTCTAAGTCTTTGGTCCTACAGAGTTTCCCACTTTGTGATTCTGTAGATTGCATCTCCATAGTGATGTTAATCTGTTCCTTAAACTGCCAGTCACATTCAGAGGCTTCATGGAAGCTTTTGCTTTTGTTTTTGTTTGCCGCTTTGGTTTTTGCAAGAATATTTCACTGGTACTTCCTTCCATCAATCAAGAAGTACATACATATTGTTCCACTTTTAGAGATGTCAAGATTCATCAGTGAGTTCAGATTTTTTTCTTTCTAAGTCTTAAACCCCCATTTTATTGCAATGGCTAGGACCTCTAGCATAAAATTGAAAGTGGGGGCCAGAGTAGGCATCTTTTAACTTGTTTTCCAGCTTTCATGTGAATGTTTTAAAAGTTTTAGCATTAAATGAGATTTTTTTTCTACAGATTTTTCATATACACTCTTCCATTCTAGTTACCAGGTTTTTCTTTTTAAATCCCAAGTGTTGGATGTTACTGAATCCTTTTTCTTGAATCTATTCCTCGTTCATTTTCAAGTTAAACCCTTGGAGTAGAATTAAAATTTGAAAGAGAACTTTATGTCTAGAGACAGTGCCACTCTTTGATCTAGGCAAGTGGACTTTACTCCGACCTCTGGCTCTCTCCACACAGGGTAAGAATCTGTAGTGCCAGCCGGGCTCGGTGGCTCAGCCTGTAATCCCGCGCCTTGGGAGGCTGAGGTGAGTGGATTGCTTGAGCCCGCGGGTTTGAGACCCGCTTGGGCAACTTGGTGAGATTTCATCTCTACAATAAATTTAAAAAAAATTAGGCGAGTGTGGTAGCGCACACCTGTAGTTCCAGCTACTTGGAAGGCTGAGGCGGAAGGATCGCTGGAGCCCAGCAGGTCGAGGCTGTGGTGGCTGGGAGCGGCCACTGCACTCCAGTCTGGGCGACAGAGTGAGACTCCAACTCAAAAAAAAAAAAAAATCTGTAGTGCCAAGGTGGTGTACTCAACTAGAACACTTGCTCCCTTCTAGACATGCTTCAAACACCCAAATAGCTTGCTCAGGCCTCTTAAGAGTGAAAGAGCCAATGGTGCATACTAAGGATTTAGACAGAGACTAAGACATACAGGTAGAACCTCTATATGTATATATGCACCAGGCTCCTCATGCTGTAGAAAAAAGTCAAGGGATGGCAGAGAAGGCAGAGAAGGCCACCTCTTCCTGCATTGCCACATTTTGTCATGGAACTTCATAAAATCGGAGAATTCTAAATTCAAACCTGTCCTTCCAGGTCGTTATGAGGGTATACTTGTCAAGATATTAGAATAAAACATTATATTTAAAAGCTAGGAAGCTTAATTTGTAACTTTCCAATGTTAAGACATATAGTATTTGGGCCTCAATTTGTACTGTTGTTGGAACCCTGCAAATGGTGAGGAGCCTGACTCGTAAATTTATAAGTTAAAACTGCATTTCATCAGTACTATTAGAATGGTACAGTCTGATCAACATTTTCAGCATATCGTTAAGGCATATATCACACTAAATAGTGGACTCAAATGTTAGAATATAGAGGTTAAAAGCTCAGATTTTGGAGTCAGCCAGTTTTCATTCTAATCTAGGTTCAATCGTTTGCTAGCAATGTAACTTTGAGGAAGTGACTTAATCTTTCTAAGCTTCAGTTTCACTTGTAAAATGAGAATAGGCCTATAATATTTTAAAAATAGGATTGATGTGAGATTTAAATTTGGTAACACACACTAAGTACTTTCTTAGCATAGTGACTGGCATACGGTAGGTGTTCAATAAACTGTAGTTATTTTAAGGACAAATGTAGAATACTACTGGCTAGGCACTATACTAAGAACTGAAATTTCTTACCTGCGTTATGTCACAAAATCCTCATAGTAACCCAGATGTCAGTACTCTTATCTCCATTTAAGAAGGAATTAAGGCTAATGTAAATGATCTTTTTTTTTTGGAGTTGGAGTCTCACTCTGTCGCCCAGACTGGCGTGCAGTGGCCGCTCCTGGCCACTGCGGCCTCGACCTGCTGGGCTCCGGTGATCCTTGTGCCTCAGCCTTCCAAGTAGCTGGAACTACAGGCACGCGCTACCATGCCCAGCTAATTTTTTTTTAATTTACTATAGAGATGAGGTCTCGCCAAGTTGCCCAGGCGGGTCTCGAATCCGTGGGCTCAGGCAATCCACTCATGTAAGTGATCTTTAAAATAACCCTGTCAGGAGGACACAGTGTTTATTAATCCCACTTTGTGAAGGAGAAAAGTGAACCACAATTCACAAAACACCTGCTCTCTTCCAGGAAGACGGTGACCAGGAGAGCCAGCTTAGAGCACTCTGCCTTCTTTAGTACTGTTTTCACTTAATCACACTGCCTTTAAAATTTGCTTTTTTCAACAAATGTATAAATTCAAATGTCCTGAATTGCTATTCCTAAATGAAATATTAAAAAGAACTAGTTTATTTATGTATTGTTTTTAGAGACAAAGTATTGTTGCCCCCAGGCTGGAATGCAGTGGTTACAATCAAGGCTCACTGCAGCCTGAAACTCAGGTTCAAATGACCCTCCTGCTTCAGCCTCCCAAGTAGCTGGGGATGCAGGTGCATATCAAGACACCCGGCTAATTTTTCAATTTTTTGTGCAGACGGGGTCCCTCGATGTTGCCCAGGCTAATGAACTCCTAGCCTCAAGCACTCCTCCTGCCTCAGCCTTACACTGGGATTACAAGTGTGAACCACTGTACCCAGCAGAATCTGTTTGTTTTTTGGGGGTTTTTTTTTGGAGTTGGAGTCTCACTCTGTCGCCCAGACTGGAGTGCAGTGGCCACTCCCGGCCACTGCAGCCTCGACCTGCTGGGCTCTGGCAATCCTTGTGCCTCAGCCTTCCAAGCAGCTGGAACTACAGGCGCGCACTACCATGCCCGGCTAATTTTTGATTTATTGTAGAGATGAGGTCTCGCCAAGTTGCCCAGGCGGGTCACGAACCCGCTGGCTCAGGCAATCCACTCACCTCGCCCTCCCAAAGTGCTGGGATTACAGGCTGAGCCACCAAGCCCGGCTTGTTTTTGCTTTTTAAGAATAAAGGTATAACAGATTTTCTATCTACCCCTCAAAAGCAAAACATTAAAGGACTTTATATCCGAAAACTTTGCTCAGTCGATGTTTACAAATTTATAAAAATTTTAAAACGTACAGAAAATGGTTTCCCTAAATCATTTCTCACTGGAAAACACCAATTGTCTTTCAAAAAAAGGATACTATTTTGTCTCTTTCAGCTAGAATATAATTTAAAAGAAACAACGTTTTATCTGCTTTGTTTACTCTATGACCTAGAGCTGTTCATATTATACATTCTCAGTAAATATTTACTGAATTGGTAATTGTAAATCCAAATAAAATCTGTGTAATTTTCTGTGCTATATGCTACGGTGTATGATGGATAGGCATTAATTTGAGCGATATGAAACTGTAGCTATTCAATTACTTTTTACCTAAAAAAAAGAGTTTCATATGGCTTTTTTTTTTTTGAGTCGAGGTCTCACTTCTGCTGCCCAAGCTGGAGTACAGTGGCTCGGAACATGGCTCACCACAGACTTCAAATCCTGGGCACAAGCAATCCTCCTATCTCAGCCTCCTGAGTTGCTGGGACTACAGGTGTATACCACTACACCTGGCTAATTTTTTGTAGACATTAGGTCTCACTATGTTGCTTAAGACTCACCACAGCTTTGATCTCCTGGGCTAAGGCAATCCTTCTGCCTCAACCTCCTGAGTAGCTGGGACTACAGGTGTGTGCCACCACACCAGATGAATTTTTAAATTTTTTTGAAGGGATGCTGCCCAGGCTGGTCTCAAACTCTTGGGCTCAAGAGATCTTCCTTCCTCAACCTCCCAAAGTGCTGGGATAACAGGTATGAGCCACTGTGCCCAACCCTAAAAAGCTTTCTAGAGGATAACAGTATGAAGCAAAAAAGTAAACAGATTTTGAGAAATGGAGGAATTTTTTTCTCAAAAGTAAAATTACATGGAAGTTGCCATAGGTTTCAGGTCTTATGTTGAGATTTTTCTCAAGAATCCTCCATAACACTCCCATACGTTTCAAAAATTAAGCTAGATATTTTTTTTAAAGGTTCATTCAATTTTTCTTGCATTTTAAAGTTACTCCCACTTTGGTGTTTTTATACACAGACACATGTAAATATGCAAAGTGTCTTAAGGACATGGGCTGTATTTCTCTTTATTAGTTAATTCTGATTTCACATAAATGTTCAAATATCTAATTAAGTCCAATTCCAACTTAATAATTAGTAAAATAATTCTAGTTTCTAGAAATCAGGTTAAACAAGCTAATCTGGACACAGTACCCTTTCTCGAACCCGCGGTCTCAGGCAATCTATTAGCCTCAGCCTCCCAAAGAGCTGGGATTTCAGGCTGAGCCACTGAGCCTGCATAGTATCCTTTCTAATACTCAAGCATATTGGGCTAAAAAACTAGTTGATATAGGTATAGTAAGTCCACATTTTTTCTTCATCATTAAAAATATACCTAACATTAATGTTTATGTAGATCACTTCAAGAGGTATCTCAAACAGGCTTTTGTAAAACTGTAGATAACTAGGATTACTGAAAAGTAGTATGAAAGCCACATTTTAATCAGTATTTACTAATGGCCTTTCCTTTACATTTCCAAGAAAAAAAAAATCCAGACATATGTGAATTTACCAATACTCCGTAAAAGAGAGAAATAATTTCAAAATATGTCCAAACAAAGCTGCTTTACCTTTCTGTAAATAAAATAATACCTATCTAAATACAGTGGTTTCAAATTCTATATGCAATTGTCCATCCAGATCTTAAGATCATGTAACAAACATTCCAAAAATCAGAGCTTTTAAAAACTGTGAAACAAAGTATCTGGGTTATAAAAGATTTTAATATCAAATAAAATCTACATGATTAAAAAGCTTTGCCATGTATTCTAGTTCTATCATGTAGTAAACTAACAAAGCATAGTTCCATGTCACATCAAGTACACATTTCAAATGTGAATGGCCTAGAAACGAATAATCTGCCATGAATGATAACAGGCAAGGCTAACACATATCAGATTACTTCCCCAGCTATCAAATATCATAAGTTCATATTTTTCTTGTTTGTGATCCCAAAACTGGCAGCATTTTCATTTCATCCACTCTATTCTTATGTATTTGAAAAGCAGGTGTTATCCATCTACCACATGAGCACTGTTCACCATACCAGTTGAAAGAACCCAACTTGGCACTGCATTTTGGGCAAAGAAGCTGAAATAAAGCAAATGTGTTACTTTATTCATGCACTTTCTTCCAAAACAAATAGTTAACTTTGACAACATAGGATATAAAAACAGGTAAGACATGGTCCCTGCCTTTGAGGAGTTTATAATAAAATGCATTGGCAGCTTACCATACTAGATGATTAACTACAATTATTACATAAGAGGCATGTTGTGCTCAGGGAGTTTAGAGGAGGAACAGATATATTCTAGCTTCAGGGAAGAAAAGTGAAGCTTGAGATTGATTTAGGAAGGTTTCATAGATGTGGCATACATATATAGCTTTTTAATTAGTTTATAATTTAAGATTTTGACTATAATCATCATGGCTAAAGGACAGAAATATCAGGATTCCCATGTTCTATTACTGATATTGACAGTATATGTCAGATTCCTGAGTATTTAAAAACAAACATCCTGCCAGTGCACTTCAGTCTGTGCAACACGTTTTCCCTGTCTTGGGGGGAAAAACAATTAATGGCTAAGCATGGTGGCTCACACCTGTAATCCCAGCACTTTGGGAGGTTAAGGCAGGAAGATCTCTTGAGCCCAGGAGTTTGAGACCAGCCTGGGCAACATGGCGAGACTGCATCACAAAAAAAAAATTAGCCAGGTGTGGTAGCGCACACCAGTAGTCCCAGCTATTTGAGAAGCTAAGGCAGAACGATCAACCGTCTGAGTCCAGGAGGTTGCGGCTGTGCCATTGCACTTCAGCCTAGGCGACAGAGTAAGACTTCAAATTAAAAAAAAAAAAAATTAAACATTTTAGGTTAACATTTTTCCCTCTACAGATTGACAAAGCTTTAACAGTTTTATAGTATTTATCTGCTAAGGATACAGGGAAATGAGTACATACATTCAGTTAGTGAAAAGCAAATTTGTATGGGCATTTTAAATGTCAGTCTGGAATATTTTTAATATTTAAAATGTACATATTCTTCAAACCAGGAATCCCACCTCTAGGTATGTATTCTATAAAAAAAATTGAAATGTATATACCAAGAAGTATGCACAAATATGGTTTAGAATCTTTCATAAAAAATGTATTTAAATTGGTGTGTATGTATTTGTTTTCTAGGTTAAGTAAAAACAGAAAGCCAAAAGCACAAGCCATAAAATAAAAAAATAGTTAACTGGAGTTAACCAAAACTAAAAACTCTGCTACAAATAATACCATCAAGAATGTAAAGTGACAGACACGTTATTTTGGGGTGATGAGAATGGTGGTGGCTCCAAAACTGAACATTTTAAAAACCATTGAGTTGTATACTTTAAATAGGTGAATTGTATGGTATGTGAATTATACTTTAATAAAACTGTTTTTGAAAAAGCAGCATCATCCGAAATTGTAGGTTTGAACATAGGGTACTACTTCCTAGGCAAGACACTAACATAAACTAAGTTTACTCACATGTAAAAAGTGACTTCAGCTGCTCTATTTTACAAAGCTATGATATTCTTCAAATGAGAAAATACAGTAAAAGGGTTTCATAAACTAGCCATTACACACAAACTTTTTATTTTTTTAGGTGAGAAAGCAGGATTTATTGAGAAGACAGAGAAGCTCCCGCAGTGGGAGGGGACCCGAAGGGGTTGCCCTTCCATTACACAAACTTTTATATAAGCCATATAAACTTTCAAAATCACTATCTAGATTATTATTATGATACCTTCAGATTAATATCAGGTAAACCTAAAGGAGAAATGTGGCCGTCCTGGGTTGTTCATATGAACTGCATTCTTTCTTTTTCTTTTCGTTTCCCCCACTGGTTATAGCTCAATAGGATGAGCTGCATTCTTTAACAGGAAATGACCAAGAATCTCATAACGAACATACTAAATGTAAAGATCAGGAAAAAAATAGATACATGAAGCCAACAGAAAAAAAGAAAGAAAACATTTAAGCCTAATTTTAAAATCACTGATATATAAAATATAAAATCCTTGATATATATTCTAATTAGTTTGAAAATAAATGTCCTATATTTGAAAAAATATATAAACAATAGCCTTAAAAGGAATTTATTAACTCTCAACCAAAAGCGGTTCACTATTTTGGATCAGTTGTTTTTTAAAAAATACTTCATTTTTGATAGTCTTATCTACACTGGGAGGATATAATCTTCAGATAGAAAGGTGTTAAGAAATAAAATTAAATAGTAATTAATGTATTGTTTAAAATGCAAGAAGAAATAAAATATAGAGGATACAGTGAAACTGTAGAAAATGTGTTCTCACCTGTCCATCCATGACTCCCAAAAAAGCAGATTCCATCCACTGTACAGGTTCAATGAAATAAGATGTACATTGAACCTGACTTCCTGTGGTAAGCATGAAAGATGGTGTCATTCTCTTGTGGGCAAAGGCTATAGGCCCACTTCCTTCGTTATGATCCAAAATACTAGAACTTCGAAATAAAGATCGCCTGCAACCCCAAACAAACAAAAATATTGACTTCCAAAAGAATGAAAATATAGATGAAATGTGCAGTATTTCTTAGAGGACAGACTAATATAACAATGACTATGGTACTTACATTTTCAATAACCCCTATAATCTGATTACTTCTACTCTTAAGAATTTACATTGTTAGCTGGACGTGGTGGCTCATGCCTGTTGTCCCAGCACTTTGGGAGGCAGAGGCAAGAGAAATGCCTGAGCCCACAGGTTCAAGACCAGCCTGGGCAACCTGGCAAGACCTCGCCTCTACAATAAATCAAAAAATTAGTTGGGCATGGTGGTGCACACCTATGGTTCCAGTTACTAGGAAGCCTGAGGTGGAAGGATCACCTGAGTCCAGCAGGTTGAGGCTGTGGTGGCGGTGAGAATGTCACTGCACTCTAGCCTGGGTGACAGAGTAAGACTCCAAACTCAAAAAAAAAAAGAAAAAAAGAATTTATATTCTTGAAAGCAGATCTGAACTAGAAATTTCTACATTAATTAAACAAAATCTTCCTACAGAAATGTAAGAAAATGAAATGTTAAGTACTTTAGAGCTTCTAAGACAAGATAAAAATCTTTCAAGGATACAAAATATTTTACCTGCACTTTCTACACTTGTAGAGAACCTCATCTTTCAATTCTTGTGAAATCGTGGTTGGGTCAACAGCAAAGAGTTCTTGAGGTAAATTCTGTAATTCTGTATGATATAATTAGAAAGTATTCATTTGTCAAAATCAACTCAGCATTTTCAGACAAAGTTCAGTTAATGTCAAATTGAGGCAGCAAGTGCTAACCTGAGAAATTAAAAACAAACAAATCAAATTCCAGTGTTGATAAATTAGGATGAGGTAAGAAAGCATAGTGATTAAGTCCTTGGGTTCTCAGCACCGACAGCCTGGGTTCAAATCCCAGCCCTGCCATTTGCAAACCACGGGGCCTTGCATAAGTTATTTCTGGCTAAATCACAGTTTCTAAAGGAAACGAGTTTCTCATAGATTGCTGGAAGTGAGTTAATGTGTTCAGTGATCAGAGTAAATGACATCTAGAAAGATCAATAAACTCTACCAATACTTACCTGGATACTTTTCTGTAACCTTTTGCAAACGATATTGCTTATAAATTGCACTAGAAGTATCTACTTCATATCCCATTGCTTGGTATAATTTCAATTGCCATTCAAATCCCTCATTCATCCTATAATGACAAATAAATATAAATAATTTTATTTAAATAAAATCACATCACAAAAGCAGAATTATTACTATAAAAAAGAACTCACTTAGCTTCTGGTTTGATAGTCTGGAGGTCTGCGTAGGCTTTTTCAAAAGTAAGTTGGTCAGTCTTCATCAGAAAAGCAGTTATTATAGCAACACTTCGACTGACTCCTGCATGACTGAAAAAAAGACCTTTAAAATAAATAGCAAATAGCAACAATTACAAACGACAACAAAAAACCCAGGCCCCCATTAATGATAAAGTTCAGATCCACTTCATTTCTACTTCTACTCAAACCCATCGCCTCTGAAATACTACCAATAAACAAAAGAATTATCCCTTTATTTCCTTATTTCTTTTGAATTCTGTACCATATGAATGTATTACCTATTCAAAAATGATTACTATAATTTTTTTAAAATTGTACATTGGCTTCAGAACAAATCCAAACAAACTCCTTTGCTCTTAGCCTTTAGGGCACTCCAGATCTGGTCTCAGACTTCTTTTGACTTCATCATTATCATCTGTCTTGTAAATATTTAGAACAAGTGCTAGCAACAGTAAGTGCTAAATACATTTAAACTATTGTTATCACACTCCAATCCAACCAAGGACTACTTAAGAGATTCCCAAACACCCATCAAGATTTTCTTTCTGTTTCTGGTGTAATCTACCCCACCTCTCCCATAGGCGAGGCCCAGGGATCTTTTAGATCCTTGCCAATTCCACCCTTCATCAACCACCCCCCAACCTCAAACAAAAACATGAGAAATGTTTTTTCTTCCTCTCTTCACCTTAGACCTTTGCTACTGTCTTACTGCACACCTAGCATCCCAATCTGTATTACAATCATCGGGGTGGGTGTCTGGCTAGTCCCACAGAACGGTAAACTTCTTAGGGCGTCATTTACCTGATGGAACCCCTCTCCCCCAACAACATTGTTGCTGCAGAACGAAGCAATTAAAATAGGAAAGCTTGCACGCCACCAGGGGCCAGCGTTCTCCTTTCCCTCGGACACGCGACTCCAGTTGGAGGGAGTGGGAGGATCTCGTGGTTTGACCCCCGTCTTGTTCTGCCCTGGGGGAGCTTGCAACGAAAGGGGTGAAGGGGGCAGGCTGGAAGCTGGGCGGGGCACTTCTCCCCACTGAGCCGGCCACTCACCAGTGCACCAGTACTGCACGGCCCTCGGCGCGAGCCTGGCCGATGAAGGCCACGCACCGGTCCAGATGGCTGAGCAGGTCGGTCTCGGGTTTGTCCAGCGCTGGCACGAAGAGTTTCCGAAGACCCTCGACCTCAGCCCCCGCCATGAAGCCGGGTTCCTCCGAGTCCACCGTCAGCAGGGCCGTGATGCCCGCCTCCCTCAAACGGTCTGGCTCCGCGACGGCCGCGGCCCCACCCAGGTACAGCCCTCTTCGCACTTCCAACATCTGTCCCGCGCAGCTGGCTCTGCTCGGATTCGGTCTCCGGGGCGCCCAGCCATGGCATGGGCCCTGAGCCTCCAACATGGCCGCGCCCGGAGATCAGGAGCTGCAGGCCCTTCCATCGAGTACGCGACCGGCTAGAGCGTCGTTCCCCAGGGACCCGCCGGCCTCAGCGACTCAGATGCTCCCTCGGAGGACTACGGCCACCCCAGGAATATGGACTTATTTATCGGTGAAGGGCGGAGCTAAGCCCCGTTCAGAGGGGCCTTTTCCACCCGTGTTCTCTCTGCCCTCTCTCCCCAAACTTGATGGTAAGGATAAATTTTCCCAAATACAGGGTTTCTTAGGCTTTTAGTCTTTTAGTGTTGAGAGTTTCAGGAAAGGGGCAGCAGGAGCACCTGAACTCAATTTGAAATATCTCCCAACAGCAGCATCATTTCATGCATTTGAAATAAAACATTTGTTCAATGCTTATAAAGCCATTTGTGTTTCTCTTCTTATGACTATTTTTCTTTTTTTGCCCAATTTTATTATTGGGATGTAAATTCTTTTATTGTCGATGTTTTTATATATATAATATATATGTATACACACACACACATATAATATATAGTCAGCAAGGGTGCCAAGACCACACAATGGGAAAAAAACAATCTCCTTAGCAAACAGTGTTGGAAAAGCTAGATATCCACGTGCAAAAGAATGAAGATGGACTCTTACCTTTACCATATACAAAAAATGAACTCAAAATGGATTAAAGATCAGGCAAGGTGACTCACACCTATAATCCCAGCACTTTGGGAGGCCAGAGGTGGGAGGATTGCCTGAGCCCATGGGTTTGAAACCAGCCTGGGCAAATTGGCGAGACCTCATTTCTACAATAAATCAAAAATTAGCTAAAAGCGGTGGCGCGTGCCTGTAATTTTTGCTACTTGGAAGGCTGAGGTGGAAGGATCACCTGAGCCCAGCAGGTGGAGGCTGCAGTGGCCGTGACCGTACCACTGCCCTCCAGCCTGGGCGACAGAGTAAGATTCCAACCCCCCCCAAAAAGAAAAGAAATTCCTAGAAGAAAACATAGGGAAAAATTTCATGGTATTGGATTTGACTATGATTTCTTGGATATGATACCAAAAGCACAGGCAACAAAAGCAAAAATAGACAAGTCAAGTTTTATTATATCAAACTTTAGAACTTCTGCCCATCAAGTGAAACAAGAGAGTGAAAAGGCAACCTGTGTTGCAAAATAATTGCAAAGCATGTATCTCATAAGTGGTTAATATCCAGAATATATAAAGAACTCCTACAACTCAAAAACAGAAAAACAAGTAACGCAATTTAAAATATAATAGGCTACTGCACTCCAGTCTGGGCGACAGAGTGAGACTCCAACTCAAAAAATAAAATAAAATAAAATATAATAGGTTGGGTGCAGTGGCTCAAGCCTATAATCCCAGCATTTTGGGAGGCCGAGGTGAGGGGATTGCCTGAGCCCACGGGATCAAGACCAACCCAGGCAACTTGGCAAGACCTCATCTCTACAATAAATCAAAAAAATTGGCGGGGCATGGTAGCGCACAGCTGCAGTTCCAGCTACTTGGAAGGCTGAGGCAGAAGGATCGCCAGGTCGACACTGGGGTGGCTGTGAGAATACCACTGCACTCCAGCCTGGGCGATGGAGTGAGACTCTAACTTAAAAAAAAAAATAATAATAATAATAATAGTAAGGCCAAACATAGTGGCTCACACCTTTAATCCCAGCACTTTGGGAAGCAAAGGCGAGAGGATTGCACAAGCCCAGGAGTTTGAAATCAGCCTAGGCAACTTGGAGTCTCACTCTGTCGCCCAGCCTGGTATTCAAAAAGATCAGGTTGGCTGTGAAGTTCTGGGATCCCAGTCCAATCTCTGGGAGATTATAGTGGGACCATTTGTCTATTGACACAACCAACGTGTAAATAAAGCCCCCACTGAGCTGTCCTACAAGCCGGTTAGCATCTGTGTCTCAAATCACAGAGGTTTTGTTATAAGGAAGTAGCTGGAACAACTGCTGCCCACATTTCTGATCGTCCAAACTGTAGGGGAGATGCACAAATCAAACCTTTTCAACACATTTTCAGATACATCAAATATGTTACAATAAGGAGTGGCCCAGGTAGAGGAAAACAGTTCTGTTAGTTCTTGAGCCTAGTGCCCAATGAGCTGGGGAGGTTTTCATGTAAGGAGCAAAGATGTATTTCACATTGAATAATCCAGATGACAAGATTTTAAGGAGATAAATCCTCTTTGCAAAATATGTATAACTCACTTGCATGTCTACAAATCATCAGGCAACAACTATTGTACTTTTTAAAAATCTATCTTAGTCTGTTGTTCATGCAAGCATTTTCATATTCTGGCATCTGTAAACCTCTTTGCTCTTTTTTTTCTTTTTTTGGTTACACACACAATTCATATCATAGAAGAAAATGTAGAAGATAGCCGGGCTCGGTGGCTCAGCCTGTAATCCACGCCTTTGAGAGGCTGAGGTGAGTGGATTGCCTGAGCCCGTGGGTTCGAGACCCACCTGGGCAGGTGAGACCTCATCTCTACAATAAATAAAAAAATTAGCCGGGCGTGGTAGCACATGCCTCTAATTCTGGCTACTTGGAAGGCTGAGGCAGAAGGATCGCCGGAGCCCAGCAGGTGGAGGCTGCGGTGGCTGGGAGCGGGCGACAGAGTGAGACTCCAACTCAAAAAAAAAAAAAAAAAAATGCAGAAGATAAAGATAAGGAAACATAAAAAAACAAACTATGGTCTTATCAACCAAAAATAAGTAATTTTCAGACACTGGTAAATACCCCTCTATACAACCCTTTTTCTCTCCTCTTTAGTTTTCCTCCCTTCTCGGAGTACACAACATACAGTCATACGCATCCTAAAATGAATGCACCCTGTACATAGTAACCTGAGTTTTTTTTCACTCAACAGTATGTGTAGACTCTTAATGAAAATAAGTGCATATCTGTATTTGTTTTAATGTGTAGATTGTACTATATTCTGTTATGACTATGTGCAAACATATGTAGGTATGCAAACACAACATTATTTATTTAATCATCCCCACTGTCGAACAAATACGATGCCTCTCTTCCTCCCCACTATCATAAATGATTCTTTAATAGATATGGACATCCATACACCTAGATCTTTATGTATCTGCCTAGTAGTTTCCCTGGGCAAAATTCATAAAAGAATAGTCATACCAAAGAATATAAATATTTTAATGCTTCAGAAGCCAACAACTCTGGTGTTAGGAAGAGTGTCATTCAGAGCTGTCTGATGGAACTCGGTAATATGGAAACATTAATTACTTTACCTCCCTAAACTCCAGTTTTCATCATGTATGAAATGGAAAAGAAGCAATGCCTGCCCTTCTCTGCTTCGAAGATATTGAAGAAGCCACTTGAGGGTCAGTACATAAAAGCTCTTTGATAGGGAAGACAGTGTTCTTTCTTTAATGCCATTTAATTCAGTTGAAACAGGTACATGTTAGAAATAACAGAAAAGGGCACTAGAGTAGTTGTTAAAATTGTATTGTGATTAAGTAGAGATGTGGAAGATATTTTTAATATAAAATTCTATAGATGGCAACTACAATTTACAGACTGAAATGAAAAATAAATACACTGGATTAAACAATGCAGAAGAAAGGATTAGTGAACTAAGAAGGAAAGGCAATAGAAACTAACACAAATCACGAAAAGAAAAATGAACTTAAAAAATGAAAAGACGGCCGGACTCGGTAGCTCAGCCTGTAATCCCAGCACTTTGGAAGGCCGAGGCAAGTGGATTTCCTGAGTCTGCCAGTTTGAGACCCACCTGGGCAAATTGGCGAGACCTTATTTCTACAATAAATTAAAAAATTAGCCGGGCATGGTAGCGCGCACCTGTAGTTCCAGCTACTTGGAAGGCTCAGGCAGAAGGATTGCTGGAACCCAGCAGGTCAACGCTGGGGTGGCCGTGAGCATGCTACTGCACTCCAGCCTGGGCACGCAGTAAGAAAATATGATCAGTGGGAAAACTTTAAACATCCATCAATATGGGCAAATGGAATTCCTGAAGAGGATGGTGTTGAAAGAAGGCAAGAAAAATATATAAAACATAATGGATGAAAGTTTTCCAAGATTCATGAAAACCATGAACCCCAAATATCTCAGAAAAATCATGTATTTTAAAAACAAAAACTTCATTTCTCAACCAACTCATCTTCAACAAAGCCTCCACCACCTACCACTGGGGAGAGGAGAACCTATTCAGTAAATGGTGCTGGGGAAACTGGCTGACCATATGCAGAAGATTGAAACAGGACCCCTATCTATCCCCATGCACAAAGGTTAACTCCAAATGGATCAGAGACCTAAATGTAAAACCTCAAACAATAAGAACCTTAGAAAATGAAGGAAATACCCTCATGGAAATAGGAACTGGCCTCCAATTCCTGAACAAAACCCCAAACCCACAGGTCATAAGAGAGAGGATAGACAAGTGGGACCTTATTAAACTGACAAGCTTCTGCAAAGCCAAAGAAACCATCAAGAGAGCAGGGAGACAGCCTACTGACTGGGAAAAAGTATTTGCCAGCACCAGGTCTGACAAAGGCTTAACATCTTGGATCTACAAGGAACTCAAATGTGCTGAAAAGAAAAAAACAAACAACCCCATTATAAAATGGGCAAAAGATATAAACAGACACTTCACAAAGGAAGACATCCAGGCAGCCAACAGACATATGAAGAAATGTTCAACCTCACTAATCATCAGGGAGATGCAAATCAAAACCACACTGAGATACCACCTAACTCCGGCCAGAATGGCAATTATCAACAACTCAAAAAATAACAGCTGCTGGAGAGGGTGTGGCGAAAGGGGAACACTTCTACACTGTTGGTGGGAGTGTAAACTAGTGCAACCTCTGTGGAAAGCAGTGTGGCGATTCCTAAAAGCTCTAAATATCAACCTCCTATATGACCCCGCAATCCCCCTACTGGGAATATATCCGGAAGAACTCAAATCACTCTATAAAAAAGATACCTGCACATGTATGTTTATTGCAGCGTTGTTCACAATAGCAAGAACCTG